GGGTGTGATCATGTGGCTAAAAACCAGAGGACCTTTGAAAGATCCTTTCAAGGATAGGACTTAGATTGAAGTTACTTCATGTGGTACCTATTGCGAACCATGATCAATTTCAAGAGATTGATTCAGAACGCTCTACATGCAATTGTCGTGTCCTCAGTTCCCTTTTTTGACATGCCATGTGGCCATGCGACCATTGGTGGTTTCGAGAACACATAAACACTGGTATGTCAACCACGGTTTGTTTTGTCTCCATTGTTATTACACTGGCTGCTGCAATCCGTCTCAAATTTCTCAGTGAGTAGCCATCAAGTGGAACTGAAATTTCCCCCGGTAGCTAATTCATGCGCTGTGCCTCCAACACCTTCTGGAGATAGCCAGGCAGAGATGATGCAAACTTGAGTTTCCCTCTGAATGCCATCAGTGATGGACAAAATGAAGACTTTGACTCAATTTTATTTATATAGCCATGTTTTGGAGCTAAAGGTTCACGCAACATTTCATTTATTGGTGGGTTTTGAAGTTGAGGCTCCAATCCAATTGATTGAAGCAGTTTGGAAGGCTTTGCCTCATCCTCATCATGGATCAACGAAGTGTCATGGACGCAGCCCGCGTGCCTTGGCTCTTTTTTTCTGCTTTGAAGACGTATACAGAGATCATCCACAAATCTTGCATGTCTCATGTGGTGCTGCTATAAGGTGCTGCCGGACAGGACCTGAGAAACCTGATTTCTTCATCATTTTACGGGAGAAATCGATCCTTGCACCACTTGAGGTTGTGTTCGTGGTTGTGAACATGGTCAGTTTGTACTTGATCTACAGCTACTACCACCTCATTCCTTTGTTACAAGATCCCAAAAGGCCCGGAGACATATATCAGGTGCTGATCAATACTACTGTGTGAAGTGTGCAGCCTGTTTGCAGTTGTTTCTGTCTACCGGCTTCAGCTTCGCTGTTTGTATAGTGTTTATCATAGTTCTGGGTTCGGGGTTGGTCTACAACGTGCTGCCTGCCAGCTACCACACCGGCGTGATTCAAGCAGCGGTCTTCAATGGCGTGCTAGCCTCAAAGTTTTTGGCCAAAAGACCTTTCTGTGCCCTCTAAATATGCAACACTTTGCATTCAATCTATCTTTTCATTTTTTTTTCTGAGATCACCTTAATGATGCTTCTTTGCTATGTGCGGGCAGTTGTCGCCTCAGTCATCCATAGATGCGATAGATGTTGATTTGTGTATCGAAATGCCTGAAGTCTTTACATGTCACAATCAGGTGGCAACAAACCCTGGAAACATCCCTTCAAAGGAGGCAGCGGAAACATTCCATTTTGAAGAAACGCCACATGATGACATGGTTTTGCCAGCCTTAGACGAGGGTGAGATTGAGACTTGTTACAGCAATGAACAGCCCTTGAACATCAGCTACCTGCTGTCGTGGGGATGGATGAGTCCTATTGTAGTGAAGTCTTATGCTTTGTGCATCTATCTCTATATATATATATAATATGTAGTTTACGCCGTTTACGCCATTCTGCCAGAGTTTTCAGTTTTCATTCTGAATTGTTTTAGGCTCCTTCCTCCAAACATTGCCACTGCAGCTCCAGTGAACCACAATTACCTTATGTAACGTTTTGCAGCTTCCAGAGAGTGCGTCACTCCCTCCTGGTGAAGTGGCAGGAAGATCCATCCTGGGAGTATGTGCCAGACACGGCTGTGCAGCAACCCGAAACCAAGGTGACGAGCTTCCTGTATTTTTGTTTGGAAAGGCCCTAGCAAGCTCAAGAGCAGCCAAGTAAGTAAGAAGGAAGACGCTACTAAAAAACGTCGGAGCCTTGATGATTTGGTTCCTAGATTCCTTGGGGAAACTTAAAAGTGTTGAAACTCGAAGCACAGTAAGCACTGCAGAAGCACTGTGGGCAGGAAAAGAAAAGAACAGGTGAACGCCGTCATTGCAAATGGTGTGCCAAGTGAGCCAGTCCCTGGAACTCTAGCAAGTACTGGTGGTGGCCTGTAATTGATTGGATGCATCCTTTGCAAGAAACTTCAGGTACAAACCAGACAGATGTCATCATTGCCGCGTGTGTGAAGTTCTCAAGCATTTAGTTTCTAATTGCCCGTTCTATCTTGTGGTTAGGAGCAACTCAAAATCTACCCTGCATTGAGGTAAGACCTGCATCCTGAAGATGGATCATCATTGCCCGTGGATCTACAACTGTGTTGGATTCAGGAGACTGACATCCTGTATTTTAGCTCTTGCTAGTTTGCTCAGACTAGATCCTGCTTTGTTGGAGGTTCATCGATTGTAGTGGCAGCGGTCATGTGCTGCTTTAGTTGATCATTAATCCTTGGTTCTTGTCTGATATGTTGAGCGGCGGACTGCATAGGGATACAACACGTGAAGTGATTGGGGGATGCAACCTGAATCAAGTCCACACGATTGGTGGACTCTTCCGCCCAGAGTGAGATGAACTTTTGTGTCGTGCAACGACTTTGAACACGCCCATAGATCTCGGCGCAGGCAACTTGCTAAGGGGCATGTTCAGCATTCCTCATCAAAGCTCTTTCCACCGCTCCCACCCGCCCTTGCAGCCATGCCTCTTGATTGATTGCCTTTGGTAGGGAGGTTAGATGAGGAGTCTCCTATGCCGCTTTGGGAGCTGAACAGGGGAGTGGGAACCTGGCATGGGACAAACGGCGTTGTCTACATTCTACATCTCAGGAAAGTGTGGCAAGCAGGGTCAGTTGGCGGACACGTCAATTGAAGGAGGCAATCATCACTTTCGGAAGTTGGCAGAGGAGGTCAAGTGCAGTTCGTCGGTCTGCGTCACTTTTGTCAGGGCGATGGGCCACTATGATGTAGACACACGGCGCATGCAACCAATGGTGGCAAAGACACTGCATTGATCCGCTTCAACAAAGCATTATGCAAGGGTTCAATTCGACTCAGGTCAGCTGATCAAGACCTAGAGGTAGTCTTGACTTTCCGGAAAATTGCGCACATAGAATTAAGTAACCACCCCCCTATTAATCAATCCCAGCTCGACCCCTCCAATACTAAACTAATTTCAATCCTAGATTTCCACCTTGGCATCACCCTAATAGTTTTTTTCTCTACCAGAAACCTCCCCCTATTAATCAATCCCAGCTTCTATTTATTTAGTTATTTACTCTATTTTTTTCTACTACTCAATATCTTCTGGTCCATGGTGAAACTGATCTTCTGATGCACCCTTGTCTCGTGCCATCTCTTTGAGAGATAGCATTCTGATCCACCCTTTTCCCATGCTGATCCTCTCATCCATCAATCATTCTGATCATTCTGCTTGCTTTTCTCATCCTTCCCAGCAGCAATCTGTGCAGCCAATGTATACTCATATGGGATTTTCCTCCCCAGCCTCTTCCCCTCCCTCCTCATCCAATAGGCTGTGCATTTCCATACATTGCATCCCCCACTGGAATACCTGCACTTGCCACATACCCCAATCCCATCCAACTCAATCTTGGCTTTGGCTTTCAAATAGGCTGATGGGAGCTCATCTACCCTCAAAGCACCTCCCTCATTCACCAATTTCCAAGCATCCTCCTGTATCTTGGTCATCTTCTTATTGGCTGCCTTCATCTTCTCAGCCAATGCTGCCGTCTTCTCCCTCTCCTGCTTCATCTTCTCCCCATGCTTCTGATCCTTCTCATCATGCTCCCTCATAGCCTTGATCCTTTTCTCCCTCTCAATCACCAATTGCTCACCCATCTTCTTCATCTTGCTGATCCAATTCTGGGCAGCAACCCATGGCCATCCAATCCCTGCTGGGCCATACCCCATGGCATCAACAACCTCCTGCTCCATATAGGCCAATACAAATACACCACATTGGTTGGATCCCTTCTTTTGCCTCACCACCTCATTCACCCTTTGTAGGGGGGGCCTATCCAAGAACTTCTCATCAATGATACCCAATTGGAGCAATGCAGCCAATACCAATTCATCACATTCCTTGGATAAACCTGATTGGAGACCATGTCTCTTAATACCTCACCTCCCTATCAAAAGGCACACCCATCCTCAAATCCACCACCAGCAGTGTCCAATGCCCCCCCAGCTAGAAAATAGCCTCATCGCAATCTCTGATATCTTCTCCTATGGTGCCACCAGCTCCTTATGACCATACTCATTGTTCTGATGAAACATGAGGCCATAGCTGGTAGCGGGATGCATGAATCTCACAGGGCCCAACTCATCCAGCTTCTTCTCATTGGCTACCCACCTGATGAGCGCCCATCCCAAAACCAATGTTTGCTGATCCACCCCATTCTCCTTGATGCACTTCTGTGATACCACCTCCACACCCCCATTCACATCAATGAGCTCAACGTCCATAGACAATAGGCCAGCCTCAAAAAGCACCTCAAAAAGCATCTCCAGCTTCATCTCCCTGCTCATACTCAATTGGGGCCATCTCCAAATCTTCTCATCCCCTCCTACCTTGGTGAGGTATTCCTTCTTGACCCATGCCTTCCTATCACCTTTATTCCTCCAATCCTCCTCCAAAAGCAATTGGACATCATTCTCCCTTTGGCCCAATGCCTCACATACAAAGTACTTCCAGCCATTTCACTGATGACCCTGATCTTCCCCTCCCATCCATCTGGGGGGTGCCCATGCTGGTGGTGGCAATGGGAGATTGGCTTCATCCTTGCCTTTCTCATCCTTCTTATCCCCCAATGCAAGCTTCTTCTGCTTGGGTTTCTCATCATGCTTCTCATGACCCCCATCCTCCAGTGCCTTCTTCTTTGATAGCGTTTCCTTGGCCACATCCTCCAATGCCTTTTTCTTCATGTGCTTCTGCATATGCTTCTTGACCTTCTTCATCCAATTCATGTTCTTAACCTTTTTCTTGTCCTTATTCTGTGCTGATCCCTTCCTGGTAGCTGATGGCACCATTGCACTCATCACCTCATGCCTGCTCCCCTGCTGCAGCTGATCTCTGATGGCTTTCTTTTCCGCATCACCCAATGCCTTGGCTGCATCCCTCACAACTTTCCTATTCTTCTTTCTCTTATTGGCCACGTGCCTTTTCTCTTTTGCCTCATCGCTCATAGAATGCTCTCTTTGCAAAGCTGCCTTCCTATAGACCAATGGCAGTTGAAACTGGCTGGCCTCCACCCATTCTGGCAGCTGCTCATCAGCTAATCCTGGGATGTCTGCATTTTTGTACCAATCCTGATCTGAATGATACATCCATTCAACCAAATCAGCCAATTCCTTGGCACCTTGAATCCTTGTCCAATTGGGAGGTGTGATAACCCCATCCTTCACATGCACCAACCTATTCTTCAACCATCCCTCATTAATCCTGTCACCTCCCAGTGGCATATCCTTCGCCCATGGCTGGTCACCACACCATTTCATGACCCATCCTTCCCTGGCCTCATAGCCAAGCACCCATTCCTCCTTTGAGCCCTCTCAGCACCCATTCCTTCTCATTGTTCCTTTCAATCATCCTCTTCATGGCTTGATGCAGGCATTGCGCAACATCCTTCATGCCCATCTGATACACCTCACTGGTGTCCATAGCCTGCTGCCCCTTTGCCATGGTCTCATCAACAGATTTCCTCATCAAGCTCTTAAACACATAGCTAAAGTCTGTATCTGTCAATTGCATCATAGCTGTCATCTTTGGAGGAATGATAGACTGCAACTGATGGGCTGCATACATCATCTTGGATGTATCATCAGAAAATGATGCAGCAAAGCAATCCCTCTGATAGATGGATGCTGGATACATCCTCCCTTGCTTTGCAATGACCCATGACATAATGATATTGTCCTGATTGGAGGATGGTTGGGAATAGACATTATAGTGTTCCAACAGATCAGGATGATCCCTTCTGATCTTGACCCATTGCTCCAATGCCCTCCTGGCACTCTCACCCTTCCTATGACTATGCACCTTCATCTCTCCCAAATAGCAGAATTATTCATCCCCAATCCACCTACCACTGTCATCAATGTTGTCCAATCGCGCATGTTGCCCAGGTACTGAGCACCCCCTTGCCCACATGTCCAATGGGGTCCTCATCAGGGTTGAAGAAATTGCTCACCAGCTGATGGGCCTCAAGAGTAGTCCTCATCTTCTCAGTTGCTGAGTCCTTCTTGATAGTCAAATGAGCCTTTGCCCACCCTTCTGATCCCCAGTGGTCACCAACTGCCAATCTTGCTTCTTCTCATCATCAAATGCCTCAAGGTCCTCATCGGGCTCCTTATCTTTCAATGCTGCAGGGTCCTCAGCCTCATCCACCAAGTTCTTCTCATGTGCTTGTTGGTTCAGCTCATCTGCGAGGTCCCTCCTAATCTTTTTGATGGGTTTCTCATGTGTCCTGGTCTCATAGCTTGCAAATACAGCCTTAGTGGATCCCTTTTTCACCCATACAGGAACCTGATCTGAGAATCCAAGCATACATTTCATCCTGTTAGCCTTGACCTCGTCAGGCTTTGCCACATAGTGCTTCAGATCTTCATGCCCCATGGACACCAGGCTCATGAGATAGTCATGATGCTGCCATGCCAATTCTGCTCCAATTTGCTGCTCCTCATTGCTCAATGGTGTAATGGTGTAATGTTTAGCGCCGATGCCCCATGATCATCTTGGCCGTCCTTTTCCCTTTGCTTATACCACTCTGAGATACTTTTCATTTGGGATTCAGCCTTTTCCAATTGATTCATACAAAGAACCTTCCGCGCCCCATCTTCCAGCTCATCCCTTTTCTCCTCAAGCTTCTCTTCTCCAATGCCAGCAGCTGAAAATACCTCCATGCCAAGTCCATCTTCTGGACTCCATGCCCATGACTCCTTTCTTTGTCCAGCCATATCTTGATCTCATGAAACAAATGTGGGAATTGCCTCTTGGCGCCTCCTCTTGATGCCCTCACTCTCATCTGGTTCCCACCTGATGCTTTCTTCCCTTTGCTCAATCCACTCCTTTGCTTTCTCTCATCTATGGCTGTGCTTTGCTCATGCTTCATCATCTCTTTCTCCCATATGGACCTTTGCTTGTAAATTTCCCTCAACTGATTAGGTCTCATCATGAGCTTCTTGCTGAAGTGGTTCAGCGAATCCTTCTCATCAGGAAATTCAGCCCTTGCCTCATAAAGCTTCTTGCAAATAGAGTGTTTAGTGGATATTGGCATCTCCCATGTTGTTGGCTTCTCATCCTTCTTTCTCACATTGGA